GGGCATTCCTTTAAAATAATGATGCTTCCTCTGTAGGTCACATTGTGTATGTCCTTCAAACTGATATATCTAGGAAAGAAGAAAAATGTGACCAAATGGTCTCATAAAAGATTTTTTTTTTTACTATTGGTGCTTTTATTTAAACATTGATAATGTCTGAATCATGGAACTCTGAATCTTCTTTACTTTAATGTGGTACTTACTCAGCTTTGACATTGTGCTTTAGTGCACAGGAGAAAGACCTGGTCCCTGTGGTATATAGATTGAATCTCTATTAGTATTTCTTTCTGTTAAGTGATAATGCTCTGAAAAGGCTAAGCAAGATTATATGACTTAAGTACAGAATTTTCATGTTGGAGGACAATGGATCTAAACTAGAAAATGTATTTGCAAGCAGCTGATAGTAAATTCAGTTACTGTCTCCCTGGATTCTTTCCACACACGTATAATTGGAAGTTGTGGGTACACAATAAGTATGTTTTCAGCTGGCAGAAGCCTTTGAAAACCCTTTCCCCAGTGTCAATTTAAGAAGGCTTTTCAGTTACTCCTGGGACTCAATGAACTGCATATCTTGACTGTCATTCATAAAATAAGCTAGAGACAGTAAACTGCAAGAGAGTGGTAACTCCTGGAGCTCCCATTATATATTATAAATTATAGAAAATTATATTTGGTTACCTTTTTCAGTTGCTGAAAAAAAGGACTGATATTATTTTGATTAGAGCCGCATTTCTCTCCCATTCCAATATTAATGGTGGCAAATCTTGTATGCCTGAGAGTGGCTGGATTTTTATCACTGCTTTACTTGCAAAGTTAATCTTTTAAGTGTTATTTGAGCACTATAAGGAAAATTCTGCATTTCATCTTTTATTTCCATTAATAGTCTTTTGCACTAAACATTTTTAGTTATATATACTTTTTCTCACTTGTAATATTAAAATGTAAGCTCTTTGATTGCATTCTAAACTCATAAAAGTTCATCACATTTTGGTTCGTCTTTATCAATATTTTACTTCACATATATGCACAAAGTCTTCCTTTCTGTGCTTTTTCCCTCTGAAGTAAGGTGGGAATAAGATTAGAGAGCAGCATGTTGATATAGGTGTGGCATGTGGAGGTTTATCTATTTGTTTGCAAGTGTTAATGTCATCAGAGGGAATCCCCTTTCTTTTGAGCATATGAGAAAAATGTTAATACTCATAACTATAATATAACATCTAGCTATTGAATGAATGTGACATTCATTAATAAATGAGCTACTTTCAGTGAGGCATAATGAAGCACTACCGTCTAAACTGATGATGTCATCCAGTGGAAATGTTTTGTTGCAGCATATGTTGATGGGACAGATCCAGCTATTCTTGTGCATTGCAAAAGCAGAAAGCTTTTCGTTATTATTTATACTCTGATCCTGCTACTCCATTAAATCAGTTTGTCTAGTCTTAGACCATTAGCACCATTGTAACTTCCATTCTGTCAGTCTATTTCTTTAGATATGAAAAAATGTCTGGACTATAAAGCCAAGTATAAAATTAGGGTAGATACAAATTCAGGTACTCGTGCAGAGGTGGCTGCAGGAAATAATTTAATTCTGAAAGGTACTCGCATTCATGCACAGACCAAACTGTTACAGATTTGTGAACACTGTCTCTCACAGTCAGAATTGTTTCATTTCGATGGAACATCCAAGCCCTGCAATTTAAAATTCACTTTTTGAACCCAGAATCCTTGCAGAAGTAAGGGCATATTTTCTGTGGCAGGAATAAGACAAAGTATCGCATACTTCTCTGCAGACTAGAATTGTATTGTTCTATTCTGAGACTGTTTTCAGCCTCCCTGGGAAAGACCACGGCAGAAGGGGTGGCCAACCTTGAGAGCCACCCCCATCAACCTCAAATTGTGTCTCTCTGTGGAAAGCTTTGTGTTTCCAGGTAGGCTGCAGATCTTGTCATTGTCATGAGAAGGGAGTAATGGCAAAGTATCCACTCTTCAGAGATTGTCATATGTATGAATCCTGTCCAAAAAGGCTGATTTCTTTGTGTGAAACATTCACATAAAACACTACGAAGTTTCCAGCTATTAATCATTTTGTCTGAAGTTTGAGCAACTTCCTCCTCAGGTGCAGGCTTCTGAAGCTTTTACTTCTCAAGCACACCAAGGTGACAGGTTCTCTTTCCCCTATTTCATTTACAGTAACAAATCCTACCCCCTTTCCCATGTGACAGCAGTATTACCTTTATGATCATGTACTCCTAGACATCATTTTTTGGACTCTGTGATGGATGGCATTAAGAGGCTGCAGAAAGGAAAGAAGAAAGGAAATGGGACAGCATGGAGATGGGACCCCTCAGGGCTTCCCACAGGTGGCCACAGGCAGGTGGTGAGGGGACAGCAAGCCAGACAACCCTTGGACGTGACACGGATGGAGGGATCCATTTTGTTGATTAAATGTTACCATCCTAGTCCTTGCCGCACTGATTATATTTGAACAAATACAAATCCACATCCCTGGTTAGGGAGTTGTTATATTCCAAATACTGTGTTTTACACAAGCAATAGTTAGCCTGTAATATATAGCTCAGGTTGTTTTTTTCAGAAGTCATTCCCAGTTCTTCACTGCTTTGGCCTTGTTCTGCAGGCTTCAGGGAGTAACTCTTATCATTGGATCTTGGGGACTCTCCACCATTTTTTGACAAAATTTCCATCCTCCTTTGAAGGAACCTATTTCTTTTTTTTTTGAGGTAAAACAGGACCTAATTCCCTCAAATTATTCTGAAATTTTATTTCTGCAATCTCTCCGGTAGTTCAGAAAAAACAGTAAATTGTTAAATACCTAGAACTTGATTTCAAGCAGCAGGGTAGTCTGGGGAAAGGAAATGGCTTGTGACTATTATATTCTACAACGAAATCCCTTAGGTGCTGGTCTCCTCCTTATCTTACAGGTTGTGGAGCCTAAATAAGAATTTCCAGAGCATTCCAGAGTATAAAGTCTCTACCCACCTATGTCTGGGTCATGACAGATGGGAGCCATGTAGTAGTGATTAAAAATTTGAACTGAAGCATACTAATACCTGTATAAAACAAGCATTTGCTGTTTACCTAACCATTAATGAACGTTTCCAGAGTCTTTCCTTCACTCGATGTCACATCTTTACCTGGACTGAAGTGCAGAAACAGTCTTGTATTGATACTGCATTTAACGGGCAAGATCACAAACATTGGGCCATACCTATGATTCATTGTGCTTTTAGGATAGTGCAAAATCAGGTGGTTTCTTTTTTTTTAACTAATTCTTAGGTTTGTTTTGAGCTGGTTGCTAGCTTGTGTTGAAAGACTTGGTCTCTTTGGGCAGAAATGTACACACTTTAGTCAGCAACTTAATTACTAAATAAAGTCTTGTGTTCTCCAAGTTTGCATATCCTGGCCAAGTTACATGTTAAGTTATATGACCCCTCTACACATGGAAGTCCTTGGAATTTGCACGTATAACAAGGCTATAGAATAGAAATTAGCTATTCATGACACAGTGAACGTTTATCAAATGTCCATAAAGTAGTATGATAACTCCTCTGTATGTGTAGGAGTTCTCTGTTTCCTTACAAATCAGAGGTTTAACCTATTATACCTTTTTTGCTCACAAACATGCGATTTTTCAAGTCGAAGCAACCTTAATCACAAAAAAAAAAATATAATTCCATCACTTTAATAGGTTGGCCTTCTGTCAGAAGAAAATAAACATTTTCTGAAATTTCTAAAAAAAAAAGTATGTCTAAAATTCACTAACCTGTGAGGTTATAATATTTCAAGTAAATCTTCTGATAGTTATATAATTTGTTAGGTGATATATTAATTGTAGTCTCTATCCATAAGATTACTTGTACACTGTGTCTTACTGTTTCAATTTAAATATGCACTTCTTGCTGTTTCAGATTTTGGTAATAGACTGTTAAACAAACCAACACTTTCTCTTACTAGAGTTTCTCAAATTATTTCCACTGTTTGAAGTGAGCATTAAATGCTAGTATTTTAGATATTGGTGATTGTTGCCCTCCTTCTCCTCTTTCACTTAACAGAATAATTAGATTATTTTTGTGTGTTCGTTTTTTAATTTGGTTTTCTTAGCCAACTCCTTGCATGCCTACTGGGGGAATACTGATATACCTGCTACCCTATGCTAATCTGACTTTGTTACACTGTGACTAAAGACAACTTAGCATATTTTATATAAAACTGTTTGTTTTATATAAAAAAATATACATATGTTGCTCAGAAGAGGTTAAGAGTCCAGCAAAATCTAACTGAAACCTGTTCTTCTGGTTATATCTCTTCCGTGAACCAGATTGTTTCCTTCTTGACAGGCTGGAAGCAGCCTTTGAATAACTTATACATACTATAATGTTACTGCATAGTATAATAAATGTATATGGTGCCCTATGGGTATCACAGTTGGATTGTTAAGCATATGCCAAGGACATTTCTGCTCACATGTCAGTTTGGAGACAAATCCTGCTGCAACAAAGTAAAGCTAGCCTTAAGGCACCATATAAATGATTACTGATTTATCAAGTGACAGTAACTAATGACAGGGAATAAACCCTCTCTTCTTTTAAGTCATCCCCTCATGTAAAAGTATCATCAGCGACCTGTCTAGCAAAGCAGCACTTAGTTTTCGCGCAGCAATCGATGTGGCTGGTCTCCATACTACAGCAGCTGGTCTGCTGTGGTAATTCCCAGTGATCCCCGCACACCATAATTCCCAGTGATCTCTGCGAGAGTCAGGAATTCTCAGCAGATGCTCAGGATCAACTGCTAGGAGATAAACAGAGGACTTTTGCAGGGAGTGTTTCTCCTTATAGAGTGAGAAAGGGAATTTCATGTATGACTACATTACTGCTACCTGGAAAGGAAAATTAAGTTCAACAGCAGTGAAGCAGTTGAACCATGCTAGAAGTTTACAGGCTTTAAAGAAAAAGTTAATTTTTATTTTCTTTTACCCACAGGTCTACCCACGGATAGCGCCGGCATTTTGGCACTACCTGCGGGTAGAAGTGAGTAGCGGGTATTTGAATACTCCCACATCTTTACTTTACAGCTTACTAGTATTTACTGACCTCCTACTTTGTCCATTGTGCAAAAATAATTAGCTACCATTCTAGCTGCCATTTTCTGTGAATGTAGTCTTGTACTAATTCCATATTGTTTTGACTACAGTGTAATTACTAACCCAAGTCACAAAGATGTGATGTGTTTCTATGCAAGGTTAAAGACAAAAAATTGAAATATAAGTCAAGGCCATATCATACATTATGACTATAGCCCAAAATCAAAGTACAGAAATCCATACTGGCACCTCCTTTTATAAACACATTTTACATTCGTGAGAAGAATGTGGAGCTTCAGTTCTGCTATATCATTTTTGCAAAGTTTGTACAACTCAACTTGATATCATTTCTCCCCTCTTTTGTCCCTCAGGAGCATGAGCAGCTCAGCTATTCCTCCACAAGGTCCAAGGCTCCAAGTGTTATCATCACAGGTCTCAAGCCAGCCACCAAGTATATATTTCATATCAGAGTCAGGACGGCAGCAGGATACAGCGGCTATAGCCAGAAGTTTGAATTTGAAACTGGAGATGAAAGTAAGTTTCACTGAAGGAAATAAAATCAAATATAATAGAAGTAGCATCTAATTCTAAAATAGTGAGACACTGGGAGTTTGAATGGCTGAATTCATACCATTTGCTTATCAGAAAATGACCACTGCTGTATGATAAAAAACAAGTAAGCCTCAGCCTCACACTTCTGGATTTATAACAACAAATAGAAATTTTAGCCCGACTCTTCAGCTGAAGGAATGTTTTCTTCTGCATAATTTCCTTATGGGTCCCTTCCAACTTGAGATATTCTATGATTCTATGATCCTTTCTTTCCTTAAAGAAGGCCTTCCTTTTGACATCTAGAAATACCCTTACTCAGGCTTTATGTAAGTCCAGCAGCTTATTGCAAGCTCCCAGAACACAGTGATGGAGTCTTTTCTCTGCAGTTTTTAGTGCTCCCAGACTCTACAAATAAAATAAATAAAAAAAAAGAAAACTTTTATATGCATTTCCATCAACCAATAAGCTAACTAAATTTGCCAGTAAGAAGCAAAAAGCCTACCTATTCCTACAGACTGTGCAAAAAGGCTTGATGCTGTGTATGATGTTCATGCTCTGAACAATTTTATATTTAAGTCATGTATTGCCCTTCATTTTCAAAGACACTGCAAACAAGGTATTTACAAGCATTTGAGATACAATTAGTATAGTAGATACAACACTAAAACACTCATTAATGAAATTACTTTAATTAACCAATTATGTATACCACGTTTTTCATTAGTGTTTTAGAATTCAAGTTGCTTAAGCCTAAAGTACAGACTCAAAACTATATAAGTGTTTTCAAGAGCACCCATGGGTTTGTGTTCCATTTTCATTGTACTTTAACTCCTATTTCAAAAATGGTTTAGGGATAGATTTCCAAGTGTTTAATGCCTAATTGGACTTTTTAAAATTTTCTGGGTACTTAAGCCAATTGGTCTGAATAGGAGTTGAGCACTTGGATGCGTTCAAAAATTCCAGTAGATCCTCTCTGCATCTTCTGATGCAATAAGTATGAGGTTTTAGGTACCCAGGGACATAAGTCTTATCAAAAGTAAATGTTATTTAAGCCTCTATGAGCCTACATCATATTTGTGGAAATGTGACTTACCCATCTAAATCAGGAAGGCTGCGGTCCCAGTGACATTTCCCTCATTGGCACTGCTGATAAAAGCATCTCCTGGGAGTGAGATTTCACCCACTGCTTCCCAGCCCCATGTCTCCTTCTCAGTTGCACTAATGCAACCTGTTGGGCTGCGTGGTGAGCTAGAGCTCACAACACTCTCATTTATTTCCTCTAAGCACTCAGTGTGAATCTCAGTAGTGAAACATAAATACACATTATATATTTGCTTTTTACCAATATTTATTGCTTGTGCCTGACTAAAAGTATTTGGTTTGTTATAAATATGAATCATTGTGTGATTGAAAGGAAATGTAGACAGAAGAGGTTTTGTTTATGGTCAATTGAGATGCAGGTTGAGAAAAATTCTGCCGCTGTTTGAAATGGTACCTGGAGCTAGATAAAGACTTCACTTTAAATAAAAGGGTAGTTCAAAGTACTGTGGTCTTATTCAAATATTTATACACTACTGCTTTAGATTTCAAAGGGGAAAAAAAGCAAAGTGAGTGCCCACTGGTAAATACTACTTATTGCAAATTGACGCAGTACTCAGTGATGAGTCAAATGATGCCTTGTTGCTCTCCAAATATCTTACTTTCTCACAGCAGTATTTTTAAAATCGGTCTATTCTAAACTTCAAGGCAATATCAGATTATTATGATCATTCATTTGTACCCCTTTCATGACACAGGCCACATGTCTTTAACTCTGTAACTTTTCCAGAGAGCTGATGACAATAGATTGAAAAGTAACATCTACCATATACAAGTAGTCTGGATTTAAAGTCTTCCATTAATGGGGAGCTCACCATATTTATAGGTAGATAGTACCAGTGCTTAAGCCTCATAATTAACAATTCCCACCTTATTTCTAGCCTGAATTTTTTGTTTAGCTTATATCTTGTGACCCTTTTCTGCCAAATCAAAAAGCCTATCAGAAATCTCTTCATCATCTAAATGTGTATGCCATTTTTAAGAATTCTCTTATCTTTCCTGTAAGTGATAAAAATGCTCCCTCTCACTCTAAAATAGACCAGTTTTTCCAAACATTGAATCATTTTGTAGCCCTCCAAAATTTTAACACCCTTTTTGAAGGGTGATGCCATAAACAGACCTAACACATCTTACCTCCTTATAATTAAGTTTTCTTTTACTTACAGATCTAAGCACTTGCTGCCTGAACTAGAGCATTTTCTTACACAGTTGAATAACTAGAACACAGCAACATTTTTGTCAGTACCATTGTATTCCAAGATACTGACCTACATGTAGATGGAGGGATTCAGGAGGGTTGTGTTGAGACATGTACTGCATAGCTGTATCGGTACATGTAAATGTTAATTAGCTCTTGCTGGTGTGCATCTGTCTTACAAACCAGCTCAGCTGAAAATTTTCTGATTTTTGTAAGTATTCTTCTCAATTATTCTGAAAGATACCAAATAATATCAGACCAAGGCAGACTATTGCAGGACCCTCCATCCCTACCAATTAGAAACAAGTTACTTGGTGAAAATTCCACGTTTTTCCACAATTGCTTCTTGTGGTCTTTCGTTAGCCGGATTTTAATTAATTTAATATGGGCTATACTGATTTTATATAAAGTTAATGTTTTCATGAGAAGGCTGGGAAGAATAGAGTCTTTTAACAGTCTGTGTTGACAACAGAAAATTTAGCATCCAACAATCTCTTAAATATGACAAAAAATATTTCAAGTCGTGTTTGATAAGAATTCTTCTCAATAGGCATTAGCTTGTAACATCCTTCAGTTGTCCACCAATTATACATATTATAGTCTTAGCACATAGAGAAGAATTCCAGGACCAGTTGCAGGTGAGCATCCAAGGTTATTCCATTTACCCTGCTTGAATGTTGACATAAGTTGTTAATAAATAGAGGTAAAGTGAGCAATCCAAAATTAGGATTTTTCTTAAAGTGATAGACAAGTAAAAAAGTAATGGTTCATCAGTTGTGAGACGTGTATATCAGTATCCTAAAACATACTGTCCTTGGCAGGACAGTGCTGTCATGCCTTCTCCAGTTTACTGGTTGAAACACTATCTGTGCTACTTCAGTTATACAGGATAAAAATAGGTACATTATTACTAGGAACAGCAAGATATTTTCGTATAATTATCATTGGTGGAGCATGAGGCAGAAAGAAGACCAACTCTGTAGCAATAATGAAAAAACAGTTAGCTTTTTGGGAAGCACCCTCACTTAGTGACCAGGAGACTGAGGCAGCCATTGCTTGGGGAGCATGTTCTTCTTGGACTCTTCTCCCTGCTACAGAGACCAAGAAACAAAACATCTAAAAGAATAAAAGTTGTACTTTTTTTATGAAAGGAAATGGAGTTACCTGGAAAAGTCAGAAAAATTCTTTTCAGGGAAGCAGGGATGGATGAATGGATGTTGTCAGGCATTTCTTCCACTGTTAAAGCTAAGAGGCTACAGCTGGAAAATGTAATACCTTTACAAAGCATAGTAGCTACTGCTTTTGACTGTGTTCCTTATTGCGATTTTGTTTAGTCTCTCTGTTTCAGCACCTTACAGGCAAAACACTTCTAGCAAAGCTGACAGGGCGTCATACACTCCAGCACACACACGTACCACTGCTGTATCTATAAATTGAAGCATAACCTCACTTGTACTTCCTGCTTTTATGTATAGAATCACAGAATCATAGAATAGTTTGGGTTGGAAGGGACCTTTAAAGGTCATCTAATCCAACTGCCCTGCAAGGACCAGCGACATCTTCAACTAGATCAGGTTGCTCAGAGCCCCGTCCAACCTGACCTTGAATGTTTCCAGGGATGGGGCATCTACCACCTCTCTGGGCAGCCTGTTCCAGTGTTTCACCACCCTCATCGTAAAAAATTTCTTCCTTATGTGTAGTCTAAATCTACTCTCTTTTAGTTTAAAAGCATTGCCCCTTGTATAGATACCTCCTAATTGTATCAGGAGTAACTGGTCTCTGAGTCACCACAAAAAACTCTGGTCCTTCTTGGATAGAATAAAATGTATTCTGAGAATAAAAAATCATTTGTCCCAGGGCAAACATGCTTTAATCTCTAACCGTTTTCTCTCTCCCTCTCTATTTTTTCTCTCTGTCTTCTAACTAGTTGTTTATGGAAGACTTTGTTTGTTTGTTGTTTTGTTGGTTTTTTTTAAATTAATGATTCAAAGCATTCCTTTTTTCTGGAGGTATGTTTTTTACTATATCACCTCAGAGGCCCTTGTGCCTAGAAGAATTTGTAAAGTGTTGAACAATTTACAGCTGTTAGGTAGTGCACTTGCTTTCTTGTGCAGGGCTTGTTCTAAAACTGAGGGTATTTCCCATGTCAGCCTTCCTGTCATTAGGAAAAAAAGAATCTGAAAAGGTACTAGTTGACTTGTTCCAGAAGGGAGCTAAGGGGCAAACTAGCATGTGTGCAGTGTGGACTAGGGCTTGGGCTCAACAGAGTGATAAATATAAGCACATGATAATTTTTAATCCAGAAGCAATGTAGATTTTTGTGTGCTACAAATAAATCACAATAAAAATTTTAAAATTTCAGAAATACCAGTAGAAAACCTGATTAGGTATTTTATAAATTTGAGGACTGTGAAAAATCAATTGGCCTGCAACCCTGATCTTGATGTAACTTAAATTTCTTTACCATAGACGCACATGGAGACTTTCTTGTATGCCAGATCTGCTGAATTCTCACATTCTTCCTCCTCTTCCCACATCCACAAAGTCTGTCTTTAACTTTTCAGCTTCAAATCATGCTATTTTAGATTTGCCATCAGATGTGTGATAGATCCTGAACTCCATTTGTTCCAGAACTCCAAAGCTCAAGAGATGTATCCTGAATCATTGGTTCTGATAGAGGTCCAATATTGTTTCAAGCACGTGCTCCGATTCATGCCATGACAGAAGAGCTGTCCCTAGGATTTTTAGAAGCAAATTAAATTGCCAATGCCAGATAGAGATTTTTTTGTTAGAATGTTTGCTGCTTTAACAATAGTAAATTAAATTTCTGGTTGAGACAAACAAAGGAGATGGCACATACCTCATATTTAGAAACTGTCTTGCTGGATCTCTCCCCAAGTCTGCCTAGTCCTACTGTTCATTCAAAGTAGTCAGCACTGGATACATCAGAACATCTCATTTTAATCTTGAAGTATTTCCTTACTGTGTTTTATATTTTCAGCCATTTGTTCTTCAAATTTGACTTCGGTCTATCTCATTTCTCTACTGTATGTGCCCAGAGACTTTACTTTTCCTCTGCATTTCCTAAACAAGAACAACATCCTTGCTCGGGTCTCAAACTGCTTGCACAGGCTTTCCATTCATCCACAGGTCAGGAAGCTAATGTTAGGGATAACACTTGGAAGAAGACGTTTCAAGTTAACAAATACCAAAAAGTTTTACGTTGTTATGCTAGTGATGCCATTATTTTTCCCTTTTAAAAGTCCTTTTTAAGTTTGCCATTCCATTGCCTCCTCCCTTTCCCACATTTCCTCTTAGATTGGAGCCCATCAGCTCACTGGAGCACAGGAACTGCAGCACTTCTGAAAATGTAAAGGTTACCCTAATTAGACTTTATATTTTTCTTTCCTATTGTCCTTAAGCACTGTTGTTTAAAATACCTTGTAAATCCATCTGACAGCCAGTTTGTGTCTATTAGAGCTCCAGTTCTCACCGTCCACACTTATCTATCTTACAGCTACTCAGTATTATCTATCTAGCTGTCTTTCTGTCAACTTTTTTATCTTTCGGTCTGCTGGAAGGTCCACTGCCTGATAGATGTCAAACTGAAATAACTAAAGGATGTAGCTAACAGACAGAAGTGAGCTGTCATTAGGGCTTCCAGCCTTTTTATACCAAATACACAACCTTTTAAAACATTTTGGAGAAATTGGGTCAAAGAAAAGAAAGGAGAACAGAGCTGGAAGATTCTCTCTGTCTTTCATCCTCTTGCACTGTGACTAAAACATCTGCACCGTTTCTTCCAGTCCACCTGGTGAGGAAGTGAAGAAGCCTCGGGATATTTCCCTTCAGCCCAGAGAGCAGGGAAAGTGCAGCTCCTCCTCCACACATTTGGGTGAAAAACCCAGGGAGGAGCTGAGACATGTCATAGATGTAAAGAGTAGGTGGTGGGGACAGAACTGACACCAGGCTGGATGCAGGAGGGATTTCTGGGCATGGTGTTAAGTAAGGAAGCCGGAGCAATGCAATTAGACACTTTAAATGTTATTTCAGGCATGTAACCCAAGTTAAGCATGAAGAATAACTGGAGCGAAGAGTTTATCTGAATAATATGCTTCTGGGTACATGTATGATATATCGTGCAGTTTTAAAATGAAATCACCACTTTGACTAATCACATTAGTTGCAGCTATGAAATGTTTGGAGAGTTTTAACACCCAAACATTATAGTATACTATCTAATCATTTGCAGGGTTAAGTAATAAATCTTCGTTTCCCTTGACTTATGCTACTCCTTTTTTAAAGTATGTTTTTGTCAAAATGAACTTATTGAGCAGAGAGAATGAAACATACTACCAGACAAAACAGCCAGCCCAGTTAGATAGGTACTAAGCTCCCTTATGAGTCTTAGCACTGCCAGTGGTTTACATACTCCTGTTGCGCCAGCACTTCCTCACCCCTTTGCCTATCAGCTTTAACTATCAAATGGAGTATGGCCCCATACATGATACATCCACATTCATCCCTGATCACAGAGCTACTAATCATCCCCAGACTGGACGGATTTGGGTGGTGCATAGTTGGCAGATATGAGACAACGCACAGGACAGTGTAGAGACAACAAAATACTGATTTTTAGCTACATGAATGCTGGCCATGTTGTCTAACAAATGAGATTCAGGAAAAAATGCTATGTACTTCTATGATTAAATGCAGCGCTCTAATATGTACACACAAAGAGATGAAATAAGGTTGCAGGAACTTGCTTGGCTTTGCAACCTATCATAATGTTTTTTTTTAAACTGAGCTTTTCTGTCTTGCATAATCAAGAATAGTCCTGAGGAGAAACACAGGGTTATATACCAATATGCACAGCTGATGGAGAGGAAAAATGAAGGAAGAAAAAGCAGGAAATGGCAAAAAAGATTCAAGAACATGCACAACAGAAAAAAAAAAAACATATTAAAGCTCTTGGTATTTACCACTTGAACTTAAGAGAAAGCTGGAAAAACAAGAAAACAGAGAGATTGAGGGACATGCTGAATTTAATTTAGAATGGCAAAATGCTGTAAAAATTTTAATTATCAAGTGTCCCTGATTATTAACTTCTCACTGCCTAGATAGTGTTTTAGGGAACCTTTTACTTGCGTTTGAGGAGTTTGTGTATGCGCATACACATGTGCTTATGTATGTGTTGTTCACAGCACTGTGCCTTTATTGATTTCTAGAAGGATCACTTCAAGCAAAAATATGTATTTCCATCATTTTGCCTTACCTGCCTCTGTCAGTTTTTAACAAATCCACATTTTTCAATTATACTTGTCTGTCATTTGACATTTTTATCTGACAAGTAAATTAAGGCCATCAAGAAGTTGCAGGTTTGAAAGCCCCTTATAGTGATTTGGCTACTTGAGAAAAAAATCCTAATATATTGGACTCTGGCACCTCTGCCAACACAGTAAAATACAAACAAGAGAAACAGAATGATCACTTCTTAAGTACGTACAGTCCCAGCTAAAAATCATATTGCTTAGAGGTGGAAAGAACTAAGTCAGTCTGGAATTTCTCCCCTTCATTAATTTGACTCTAGTACCTGATAGAAAATATATGGTATTAAACCGATAGATTGCATCTGTTTTAGCTAAAACACCAAGAAATAGCAGCTCCATTCAGCAGAAATGATCCAGGACACATGAATTACTTCATCTCGATAGCTGCAGAGTGCTTCTTTGAACCATGGAATCAGTCCCTACGTTTGCACCTTTAATTCTCACAAATAAAGGCCCTGGGTTGTCTCCTTGGCAATGAATGTCTGTTGAAGAAAAG